GATGTTCTTTGAGGATCTAAATATGTTTGGTAGACAGAGAATACAATCACCAAAGCTGAGTTCTTTCAATTGATTCTCTATTAGAGGGCACAGTGTGCAGTGAACACAACCAGGCAGGCAGGGAAGGTGTCCCAGTAACTGTGGTAGCAAGTCTTATGGTGAACGCCTTTTTACTGCTTGTTGTATGGAGCCTTGGAAAAGCACATGGCGGCCTGGTGGTCACAGTTGCAAGTTAATGAGTCACAGAGGTGTCTTTGTCTGTAGAGAAACAAGAAAGGAAGTGGAGTGGAGCCCATGACCCTGCTCCATACGATTTGTAACCAAAATTGAAACCAGTGGCCCTCCTGTCAGTGCAGACTCAGGGTTGAAAGACAAAGCACACAAAAGAACATTAGGTTGCTCAAATTGTTGGAAAACACTAATAATAAAAAAAAACTAGTTGTTGTGGGGCTGGGGAGATGGCACGGTTGGTAAAGTGGTTGTCATGCGGGCCTGACCAGGATACCCAGAACACTTGTACAAAGCAAGGTGTGTTGGAGCATCTGTAACTCTATTGGAAAGTGAGGAGAATGGATCTCCAAAGCTTGTTGTTCAGTCAGGCTAGCTAAAGGTGAGTGTCAGGTTTAGGGAGAGAGACCCAGCCTCTAAAGACATGGTGGAGAGTGACTGAAGAGGACACGGGATGCCAACTCACTCCTATACATAAAAACAAATAAACATGGATACTTAATTCTAAACCCAGAAAACTACAAATATCCACTACCACTTCTAAAATTATATGATTTAAAAAAAATAAAATTATATGATTTAAGACAATCTTCCTGACTCCACCCCCCAAGCACTTGGATTACAGGTGTGCACCACCACACTCAATTCATGGGTTCTGGGAGGTGGAACCCAGGGCTCTGTGCATGCTAGGCAAGCACTCTGGCAATTGAGCTATATCCCCAGCCCTCTGAATCCTCACCTGTAAAATGGGAATGATAAATCTTGCCCTGCATAGGTGTTTACTCCAGTATCTGACTTATACAATGATTCAGCTCTCCATTGTCTAGTCAGTATGGAGTCAGTATAACACAGCAGCTAACAGGAGAGGCTTTGGGCAGGCAAGATGGCTCAGGGAATAAAGGCCCTTGCTGCCAAGTCTGAACCTGAGTTCCATCCCCAGGATTTACATGGTCGATGGAGAGAACAGACTTCTGCAAGTTGTCCTCAGACCTCAGAGAAGACAGAGAGTAGGAGGGGAGAGAAGAGAGAAAGACAGTGTCACGTGGGCACTAAAGGAACATCCTTGCACTAAAAACACTGGACTCAAAGCGCTTCTGCTGTGTGCTCATTCTAGGAACTTGCACATAGGAAACCAAACTGGACTGAGGGTAAATGTCCTGAAGTCAGGATTACATCCAGGTGACCTTCCAGTCTTCACTGTGCCTAAACACACGCCACAGGATAATTGTCTCAGTAAAGTACACAGCAGCCTAACTTTTTTGAACAAACGAAACAGAACACATCATCATCTTCTCCTCTACCTTTCTCTCAAGGGACCTCGAGGGGGAAACCAGGTTAATCTCTGGTTCCCTGGTCAACCAGATTTGAAAAAAAAAAGTCTCAATTGGCTAGTTTAGGGCTACGTGGTTCTCAGTCTCTCTTTTCCTTTAGTGAACAGCTACCCAGTCCTCTACCTTTCCACCCCGACCCTCATCCCCACTCATGTCCCACCCAAGGCTAGGGCCTCGCCCCTCTCAAAATCAGTCCTAGTGAGCAACAGGTGCAGCTAGAGTCACCTGCCCAGGTGCAGTGACTGGTAGTAGCTGGCAGTGGCTGTCCAGAGTCCTGCTGGAAGGGTCTTGAGCATGGAGACAACCAACTAAACTCACCCCCTACATGGTTTTTATCCAGGGAAGATGTGAAAAGTGTGGAAAATGAGGTGCTGGGGTGCTAAGTTAGGGGGTACATAAGAGATGGCCAAACCCTAGCTGGGTGGTGGTGGTGCACACCTTTAATCCCAGCACTCGGGAGGCAGAGCCAGGCGGATCTCTGTGAGTTCAAGGCCAGTCTGGTCTACGGAGGGAGATCCAGGACAAGCACCAAAACTACACAGAGAAACCCTGTCTCGAAAAAAAAAAAAAAAAAAAGAGGTGGCCAAACCCAGTGTCAAGAGGGCACTGGCCCAGCAGACATTGTTCAAATGCTACTATGTGGTTGCTGAGAATTGAACCCTGATCCTCAGGAAGAGCAGAAAGTACTAAGTGCTGAGCCATCTCTCCAGCCCCAGTAATGGCTGAACTTGACTGTCAGCTTGACACACCTGGGAAAGGCGAGCCTCAGAAGAAGGATAGCCTGCATCGCATTGGGCAGTGGGCAAATCTGTTGGGCATTTTCTCGGTAGATGAAGGAGGCCTCAACCTATCGTGGGCAGTGTCGTCCCTAAACAGGCGGGCATGGGCTGCATAAGCAAGTATTCCTCCTTGTTGTCTTCGTCGATCTCCTCTAGTTGATTTCTCAGTGATGGGTTGATATCTGTAAGATAAGATCAACCTTTCTTCCCCCAGCTGCTTGGGTAGTGGTGTTTGTTTATTACTGCAGTAACAGAAAGTGACCTTGGACAGCGCTTCAGGAGTCCTGCTTTTCAGGGCTTTGTTTATGATGCCGTCGAGTGAACCTAGGGCTTTGACCATCCTAGACAGGCTGTTAACAGTAAGCGTCACCCCCAGCTCTTGAGTAACCTCATCTTTTAAAAGAAGTAATAGTGGCCATGTCATAAAGGTGTGGGACCAGTGGGTAAGCAAGAAGATGGATTGTAAAATGATGTGTTGTAAATGCTGAATAAATATTTTTGTAAGGGAGGGACCTCCAGTTTGTTTTGACTCTTTGGTATTTGTGATTTTTTTTTAATTAAACTACATAAAAAGAAAATGAGGGGTCTGGAGAGATGGCTCATCAGCCAAGGACATTCATTGGCTGCCCTTCCAAAGGTCCTGAGTTCAATTCCCAGCACTCACATGGCGGCTCCCTACCATCTAGAATGAGATCTGATGCTCTCTTCTGGTGTGCAGATGTCCATGCGGAGAGAACACCCATATACATAAAATACATGAATAACTAGATCTATACAAGAAAAATGAGGCCCTGGGGAAGATCATCAAGAAATCTGGGTATACTCCACAGGGACAAAGGTTATAGGAATTGATACCATCTCCTCCTCCATCCTATACCCTAATGGCCATGTGGGCCTTTGCTTACTGTGGGCCAAATATACCGCTATGTGACTCATTCTTCAAAACCCACTGAAGTAACTATTATTCTAATTTTTAATTTTTTTGAGAGTCTAGTGTACTACCCCAGGCTAGCCTCGAACTCTTTATGTAGGCATGATGACCTTGAGCTGTTAATACTCCTGTCATCAACCTGAGAGCTAGGATTACAGGTCTGGACCACCATGCCCAGTTTATGTGCTAGGGATCTAACCAACTATGCTAGCCAATCCTTATTTATTCAAAAATATGACTGAAAATCACACAAAATAACTTAAGTTCATCTAATTAGTAAATAGCAAAACAGGTTGAAACCCACTTCTGTCTATTTTCTGAGTTTCAACTTCATGCTGTGCTCTATTTGTAGAAAGTGAAAATGGAAAAAAAAAAAAAAAAACTTTCTGGGTGTGCTGGGCTAGTATACACCTTTAATCCCAGCACTCAGGAGGCAGAGGCAGGTGGACCTCTGTAAATTCAAGGCCAGCCTGCTCTACAAGATTAGTTCCAGGACAGCTGGGACTACTACATAGAGAGACCCTGCCTCAAAAACCAAAAAGAAGAAAAAAAAATTAAAGGGTCTAGGAATGTAGTTCATGAGTTCACAGACAGCCTTTCCTAGCATGCACAGGGCTCTCATGTTCAGTATCCAGCACTGAAAAAAAAAAAGTAAAAGAAAAATTAAGCCAGGCATGGTGGCACACATTTGCAATCTCATAACTTGGGAGGCAGAGGCAGGAGGATTAGAAATTCAAAGTCATTCTCAGATAAGTAATGAGTTAGAAACCAACCTGGGCTTCATAAGGCCTTGTCTCTGAACTGGCTAAATAATTAGTTTATTAACTATTCAAGATCTGCCACCTTTAATCCCAGCACTTTGGAGGCAGAGGCAGGAGGATCTCTGTGAGTTTGAGGCCAGCCTGGTCTACATAGTGAGTTCCAGAATGGCCAGGGCTTCCAGAAATACCAAGTTCTTCTTGGGAGAGATTTATTTGTGTTTGGTTGGTTGGGTTTTTTGTTTGTGTGTTTTTAGAATTCTACCTCAGTAGAGAATACAAAGAAAACATGTATGTCTGCAGGTGAGCCCTTATTTCAAAAAAAAAGGGTGTGTGTGAGCAGGATGTCTAGACAGATAGATGGTTCAACAGTTAAGGGCCCTGGCTACGCCTTCAGAGTTCAGTTCCCGGCACCTTTATTAGCCCATTCGTGAGCAATTGTGGTTCCAGCTCCAAGGACTCCAATGCCCTCTTCTGGACCCATTGGGCACCTGTGCATACACACAGGAATATACACATGAACAAATTAAAAATCATAAAATAAGTCTTTAGGGAAAAAATCCTGGAATGAGATGTACAACCCTGTATGTCTTCAGAATGAATGACAGGGCAGCCCCCGCACTCTGCACAGCCCAAGACCATGCATTACCCTGGGAGCTGAGATTGCTCCCGAGGCTGGGGCGGGGTGAGCATGTGTTGCCTGTCCTCAACTCAGACGGGAGGCTTTCCGAAGTAGATCGTGAGTCTTCCACGTGCCTCACATTTCAGGGCACACGGATTCTTTCCACTGAGCACAGTGATCAAACATACCAGCTGAAGAACCCACAGGGAATGAACTGTTTTCTCATCACAAACCAGGTTCAAGGTAGGCGTCCCCTTCTGAGAGCTAATATCAAGTGGAAATCCTGGCGGCACACTAGCATAAGACCCGTGCTTTCTTGTATATACAAATGCACAGTCCGCACACTTGATATGGCTATTAAAAATAATTTATTGTTTGGTTAATAAAAAAATTAACTTATGCTATTGCTCATGTTGTTAAAAATATCAAAGTGCTTCCAGTCAGACACAACCACTTGGAATTACAAGGGAATTACAGATGCCCTTCTGGTTATTCCCAGAATTACTGCGATCTCAATGTCAGCCCTCCACAGACCATGCTGGCTTATGAACTTCCTGTTTCTTCTTCCAGGTCATATGAAAGGGAAGGTGACAGAGCTGTGCCATCAAGAACAGCTACCTCTTGAAGAAGTCTTTCTTGTAGGGGAGGGCAGCTTTACCCCAGGACTCTGACAGCTGGTCTGTAAACAGCAGGGGGCAGCAGTGGGCTGGCCTGTAGACATTGCTCTGCTGCCCTCTATAGGATACAGTCGGTAAGCTTCCATTAATTTGAAGGGAAGGGAAGAATCCTTAGGGACCTGAAAAGAAATCAAACAAGTTAATGTCAATGGAGAGAATGAAATGGTTGTAAACATCAGCCTACCCACTAAAAAACCAGGATGGAGCAGGCACGGTGGCACACACCTTTAGACCCAGCACTCTGGGGGCTGGAGAGATGGCTCAGAGGTTAAGAGCACTGGCTGCTCATCCAGAGGATCTGGGTTCAATTCTCAGCACCCACAAGGCAGCTTGTATGTTTATAACTCCAGTTCCAGCCGGGCGGTGGTGGCGCACGCCTTTAATCCCAGCACTCGGGAGGCAGAGCCAGGCGGATCTCTGTGAGTTCGAGGCCAGCCTGGGCTACCAAGTGAGTTCCAGGAAAGGCGCAAAGCTACACAGAGAAACCCTGTCTCGAAAAACAAAAAAACAAAAAAACAAAAAAAAAAACAAAAACTCCAGTTCCAGGGCACCTAACACCCTCACACATATCTACATGTAGGCAAAACACCAATGCACATAAAATAAAAAAATAGTTATTTTTAAAAAAGAAAAATCCCGGGCTGGAGAGATGGCTCAGCGGTTAAGAGCACTGGCTGTTCTTCCAAAGGTCCTGAGTTCAGTTTCCAGCAACCACATGATGGCTCCCAACCATCTGTAATGAGATCTGGCACCCTCTTCTGGCAGGCAGACATACATGCAGGCAGAACACTGCATACATAATAAATAAATTAAAAAAAAAAAAAAAAAAAAAAGAAAAATCCCATCACTCTGGAGGCAGAGGCAGGAGGATCAGAGGCCAGCCAGGTCTACAGGCCAGTAAGTTGGCTCTGTGGGTAAAGGTGCTTGCTGCCAGCCCTGAGGACATGAGTTCAGTCCCCAGAACTCACATGACAGAAGGCAAGAACTGACTCCTATACATCCTTCCCTGACCTAGACACATGTACCATGATACCTGTGTATCCAGACACACAGACACACATACAAAAATAAATAAAATTGTAAAAATGTTAGTTATAGAAACAGCCAGGAGTGGTAGTTATTGACTTTAGTCCCAGCACTCGGGAGACAGAGGCAGGTGGATCTCTGTGAGTTTGAGGCCAGCCTGGTCTACAGAGAGAGTTAGATAAACCCTGCCTCGAAACTCACCCGCGCCCCACCCCCCCAGAAAAAAGATTTTATGTTTAATTACATGAATGTGTGCAGATGTCTTCAGAGTTCAGAAGAGGATGTTAGTGGATTCCCCTGGAACCGGAGTTTCAGGCAGTTATAAGCATCTAACTGGGAACCGAACTCTAGTCTTCTCCAGAAGCAACACAAACCACATGACATCTGTTTGTTTTGCTTTGATTTCTCAGAAAGACAAATAAGGGCTGGAGAGTTGGCACTAGCTGCTCTTCCAGAGGTCCTGAGTTCAATTCCCAGCACCCACATGGTGGCTCACAATCATCTATAGGGGATCTGATGCCCTCTTCTCTAGTGCAGACATACAGGAAGACAGACTCATATACATAAATAACTAAATCTTAAAAAGAAAGACAAACCTGACTTAGAGCTGAGCACATACTTGGGAGGCTGGGGCAAGAGGATTGCCCCAGATTCAAGGCCAGCCTGGGCTACACAGCAAAACCCTGCCTTAGAAGCCAGCAACACAGGGCTGGAGAGATGGCTCAGCCCCCAAAGCATTTGGTTCCCAACACCCACGTAGTGGGTTACAACCTGCAATTCCAGTGCCAGGGAATCTGACGCCCTCTTCTGGCCACTGCGGGCACTGCATGAATATGTTGTACAGACCAATACCCAAGCAAAACATCATACACAAACAATAAAAATAAATAGGTTAAAAACAAAACAACAGTAAAAACCCCATCCACTGTTTTAGAAAAACAGTTTCAATTAAAAAACAGTCATATGTGAAGTCTAGAACTGTCTCCTTGGTCAGTCACCTGACTCCTCAGTCTAATAGGGAACAGACTCTGTCTTCTGGCTTTTGTTTTGTTTTTGTTGTTTGGAGTTAGGGTCTCACACCTGTGGCCTAATCTAGCCACTCTGCATGGAGACTGGCCCTGAGCTCCAGGCCACCCTCTTTAATCAGCCTCCTGGGGGCTGGGATCACAAGCATGAACCACTACACCTGGCTAGACCCTTCCGTCTGAGAAGGTGTTTACCTACAGCAGCAGGACTCAACAACGGAAAGTCCATTTCCAGCCTCGGAACATCAGACCTCGGTCACTGTGGGTCTATTAAAGGCAGCAACTCTCCGCAGCGGGAATCCAGCTTCAGGCAAGCCAGGTCATCCGACCTCGTGGGTCCGATGTTCAGAATGGCGATTGGGAGCTTCTTCTCCCGGGCGGTGAGGATGAACCTGTAACCGGAGTACACCTGCCCAGACAGAAGACAGAGAGTTTGCGCTAGATCCAGGAAAAGAACTACCCTACAACCTCAGAAACAAAACACAACAGAAAAAGGACAAAAGGGAGCTGAGGGGCCGGTGAGATAGCTCAGCAGGTAAAGGTCCAACCATGCCAGATGATGTGAGTTCAATTCCCAAAACCCACGATGGAAGGTAGGTGAGAACTGACCCCCACGACTTGTCCTCTGACCTACACACAATCAATGAATCAATCAGTCAGTCTACAAAGGGGTAATCGTGCTTGGGAAATGGTTGATTGAGTAAAGTTCTTGCTATCCAAGTATGGGAATCTGAGATCAGATTCCCAGCATCCATGTAAACACTGGCTTTGGTGGTAATCACGTGTAATCCTAGTGTTCACGGACGGAAACAACGGGGTTCCTAGGAGCCCACTGACCAGCCAGTCTAGTCATTCCATGACCCCTAAGTTCGCTGAGAGACTGTCTCAATGATTATGCCAGGGGCTAGAGAGATGACTCAGTGGTTAAGAGCACTTGTTGATCCTGCAGAGGACCCGGGTTCAGTTCCAGACACCCAGGGATGTTGAAACCCTGTCTCAAAACAAAAAAAACAAAAAAACCTAAGGTAGACAGCAACAGATGACATCCAACATTGATATGCCTGCATACACATGCACACTCATGCACACACACACACACACACACACACACACACACACACACACACACTCACCCACGAAGACTAGAAAGGAAACCCAAATAAGAGGGAACCTCTAGGAAGTCTCACCCTGTACAACGGGCAAGGGCCGCCGCCGTGACCCTGACGGAGTAAGGTACCTGCAGGGACGATCCCACCACCAGCAGGGAATCGGCCTCTTTCACACGCCTGTGCACGAAGTCAACCTTGTCTGGGTTCACCGTGTCCCCAAAGAAAACGACATCGGGTTTCAGCGGGCCGCCGCATCGATCACAGGACGGGACCTGAAAGCTGCGGACCTGCTCCTCGGTGAGGAACACATCTCCGTCAGGGGCCACGCCCTGCGCCTCGGCGCTCCAGCTGGGGTTCAGGACTTGGAAACGTTCCTGCAGCACCCTTCGGGGAGTCTGCTCGCCACAGTTCAGGCACAGGACTCTAAACGCAAACATGAGACCTGCTGAGCATTAATTAGTTCCTGCGAGGGATAAAGCTGCCAGAGCAGCCCCAACCATTTTCAACCCCCCACAAAAAAGAGTCACTTTCTTTTCCTAGGACCGCCCCCCCCCCATCTGAGGACATCCATTTTCATTTTCGTCTTCTCCCCCTTCTCCTTTGCCACCGCTAGAACAGGGATTCTCAACCTGTGGGTCGCGACCCTTTGGGGGTTGAATGACTTTTTCACAGGGGATGGCCTATCAGATATCCTGCATATCAGATATTTGTGTTGTGATTCATAACTGTAACCACATTACAGTCATGAAGTAGCAACAGACATAATTCTATGACGGGGGTGGGGGTCACCACAACATGAGGAAGTGTATTAAAGGGTCTACACCCAATCCTCAGTACTCAAACCCGTGCCCCCTCCGCACTTGTCCTGTCCATCTACAGTGACTGTCACTGTCACTCCCTGTGAAGTCACTTTTGGAAGGGTGGTGGGACACACCTTTAATCCCAGCACTCAAGAGGCAGAGGCAGGCAGATCTCTGTGAGTTTGGGGCCAGCCTGGTCCACATAGTGAGTTACAGGTTACCCAAGGCTATGCAGAGACTCTGTCTTCACCTAAATAAACAAATAAAATAAGAAAAAGAAAGGAGAAATGACCATGTTAGGGAGTTAATTCCCCAACAGTGATGCTGGATCAAGGTGGGATCGGAGATGGTTCATTAACACCCTAGCTTTCACTTTTGGTGAAATAATTGGTTTTTGTTTGGTTTGGTTTGGTTTTGTTTGGTTTTTCAAGACAGGGTTTCTCTGTGTAGCTTTGCGCCTTTCCTGGATCTCACTCTGTAGCCCAGGCTGGCCTCGAACTCACAGAGATCCGCCTGCCTCTACCTCCTGAGTGCTGGGATTAAAGGGGTGCACCACCACCGCCGGGCGAAATAATTTTTTTTTTCAACCCAAACTCGGGGTTAACAATACTACTCACCACCCTCGTGGTGGCTCTTTCTGCACAGTGGCGATGATAACTCTGAATTGTATTCTAGACTGGGAGTCACTGCAGGATGCTGCCCCACTCACATTATTTTTCCTGGCGCTGGGAAACTGAACCCAGAGCTCTGCCCAAGGATACGGGTCAACCAGAAGAAGGCATCCTTTCTTGGCTTGCTCCTTTTCCTGTTTCCGTCCCTACTTCCTCTCTTGGTTCACTAGGCCTAACCCCAAAGGCAAAGACTTGCCCAGGAAGCCTTTGCTCTGGATCTAAGACAACCCTGCTCCAGACAGCCAAAGGCTCCTTCACCTGGGGAACCACACACATCCTCTTATGGCCAAACCCGGTAGACTTGGGCACCTGTGCATGCATCCATGGAGCTCTGTCAGCCGCTGATTCCCGGCCTTGGAGTGCAGAGCGTCCACGTTCTGAGTCACCAACCAGTGCAGCTTCCCAAGTTTCTCCCAGCTGCTCAAAGCCCAGTGTGCTGGGTTGGGCTGGTGTGAGGAGAACTGGGGCCAGCCCACAAAGTTTCTGGCCCAGTACCGCTGGCGGACTGGAGCACTGCGTATGAAATCGACGTGCTGGATGGGTCTCCGGTCGGTGCGGGCGTACAGTCCAACCTTTTCCGACCTGTAGTCTGGGATCCCAGACTCCGTGGAGACTCCTGCGCCTGTCATCACGAGAAGTTTCTTGGAAAGGGTAATGAAGCGTTGTAACTCTTTGATCTTCTCAGGGTCTACAGGAGGGCTTGGCGGCACAAATAACCCAGTAGGGCCACGAGAGCTCGGCCGGCTGAGGGTCCTCATCCAACGGCCCTTTGTTGACCCGAAAGTCAATGCACTCATTCTCCTTCTAGAAAAAAAGAAATCCATGAGAGAAGCTAGGTTTCACCAAGAAAGTTAACCACCAACCGAGGGATGGATAACAAAAAAAAAGTGTCTATCCACTGTGGGAACACATTCAGCTATGAAAATTTGCCATGGTGGCCCTTGCCTGGAATTGCGGTACTTGGGAGATAGAAGCAGGAAGGTTGGGGCTATCCTCAGCTCTTGTATAATATTAGTGGGACCAGCCTTAATATTATACATCCCAGGGCTCAGGAGAGAGAACTACTAACGGTGAGGACTATTTTCGGGAAATAGAATCTCAGCACACCGAGCTCTATAGTCCACTTGCTTTAATTCCTCTGGCATAACATCCTTTATACACAGCTTCAGTTCTGTTCTCATGTCTAGCTCCTTTCTTGCCTGATTTCTCTCTATACTTATCTATTGCTCCCTCCAAGTTCTATCTTAATTCTCTCATCTTAATTCTGCCTCATCTAGGTCCTCTTCAGCTTGTTCTTACCCAGCTAGTACTTCCCCATCTGGCTCTTCCTCATCTTCCATCTCATTCCTCTAGTACTCTCTTCTAGCCCTTCAATCTAGTTCTTCCCCATCTCAGTTTGTTCCTCTCAAGTTCTTACCCGTCTAGTTCTTCCACTCTCTTTTCTCTTCTCCATCCCTCGTGCCCTGCAAGTCCTGGTATATAATGCCAGGCTTCCAGGGTCAAACGGAGGGGTGATAAGAATCACATTGAGAGGCAATAGCCATTAATTATCATTTGCAACCCCAAAGGAAAGTGACCAATGGGGAAATGAATTAACTAAAGGCTAAATTCGGGTAATATCTAAGAAGAGGGATCTTATGTGCTCAACTATAGTCTTAAACATGATTAGTAGAAAATGTTAAGAATCTATAAGTTGCTAGGTTAATGGGAGAAAATAAAACTGCCTTCTTTTTTCCTGTGGCTCCTATCTGTCTAAGCTATCTGCCCTTTATCTTCAGGGTGGGAGAAGGTGTGTTCAGTCTCTAGTGTACAGCTAGATGCCTCTGCTGATAGGTAAAGGGAGATCTGGAACTAGAGGTAAGGTTTGGGAAAGGAGGAAGTTAAGAAAGGAGAGTCCAAGCTAAATTGTGTAAAGCTATTACTTAATGTCCACCTGACCTAGGTGGTGTCTCCTTGTGGGATTTACAGGAGACTTGCATGTGGACTGTTATTACTGCTAGTCCTTGAAAGTGGCCAAGGGAGATATCTGATTCCAGAGAAAGCCTTTCCTGAGGCTGTTCTCCAAATACCTGGAATGTGTATGTCCAGAGAGTGATCAGTCCACACTGTTAGCCCTTCTTAGGGAAAAGTCAATTGGGAAAACTATGAAGGCACACATGATTTTCGTAACAGAATACAGCTGATATATAACAAGCCAAATAACACCAAAAGCTCCTTGGAATTTGGGTTCCTCTGGAGGAATTCCCTGATCCCTCCAGGTAGTGACTTTGCCATAACCAGCTGAGTTCTTATGATATATTCCTGCGGCCCGTAGCACTCAGCTAAGGAGAGAGTTACAGGACAGTCTGGGCTGTACTCAGAGAGAGAGAGACAGTACATGGGGGGGGTATGCTAAGTGTAAGAAATCAGTTACAGGGCTAGAGAGATGTCTCAGAGGTTAAGGGCACGGGCTGCTTTTCCAGAGGACCTGGGTTAAATTGCCAGCACCCACATGGTGGCTCACAACCATCTACTGAAACTCTAGTTTCAGGTGATCAGACATCCTCCTCTGGCCTCTGCAAGCACTGGGAACAAAGGTGGTACACAAATACATGTGTAGGTAAAATATCCAAGCACATAAATTTTAATTTAAAGTTTTTTAAGTATCTTTTTTTTGGGGGGTGGGGGCATGTTTCAAGACCAGGTTTCTCTGTGTTGCCCTGGCTGTCCTGGAACTCACTCTGTAGACCAGGCTGGCCTCAAACTCACTGAGATCTGCCTGCCTCTGCCTCCCAAGTGCTGGAATTTAAGGCATGTACCACACACCCGTCTACTTACCTATATTTTTGTTAAAATTATCCCTCAAAAGACTATTTGTTCTGTAACCCTACCTGTTTTAAATCAGAATTATTACTTTTTCTTTCTGTAGCCCAGGCCAAAGATTACAGGATACACCCAGCTACACTGGATTTATCTTATTTCTCCATGAGATATTTGAATTCTAGTATGTCAGATGTTTGGGGATTTTTTGTTGTTGTTGTGTTTTTCTACATGGTGCTGGGTATCAAACCCAGGGCCTCTGCGACCCTAGGTAATCAACTATTCTATCACCGAGCTATACTGCAGCCCAGTACAGCAGGTTTTCAGGACGTTGTTCTGATCTTCCAGGCTTTTGATTTTATTCGTGTCTTCACATACACCCCTTCAAGTCCTTCATTTCTCCCATAATGTCTGTTTACTGTACATTGTAAATTCTGCTATTTGGACACAGAAGACAAAACACACACACACACACACACACACACACACACACACACACACACACTCACACACAACTTGCCTGTCAGGTTTTCTAATTGTAAAAACAAGCATTCGACATAGCTTTGGATATAATGCAGAAATTACCCAGCGACAGGCAAACATTTTAGGCTGGGCTTCCTACACCTGAGCTCAGGACATTCCACAACTACACGTGAAACAGCTAAACAGTCGGGTTTGGCAGGGACGAGCTGTTTTCCTCCGTGTCCCCTCAAGCCCCTCAAGAACAAAAAGGACAAAGAGAATCTATTGTAAAAATGCACAGCGGGATTTCCTAAAGACGGATCAGAACACTTACCGTCCACAATTTTCACCCAACCGTGGGACTGGCTCGCTACATGTGCATCTTGGGAAGTGTAGTCCACGAAGCAGACATAATCTGAAGAAAACTACAAGTCCCACAATCCTGCGAGTCTACCGCGGTCCTCCTCTGACTTCCGTTTGTCTTTCCTGGTCAGCTCAGTTAAGGTTCCGGTTGTGCTGCTGACATGAGGCGATGATTGCCTTTTGGAGTTTCTGTGTTTGGTTAGTTGGTTGGTTGGTCTTTCTGTGTTGTTTTTTGAGACAGGGTCTCATGCGGCCTACTCTGACTCCAAATTCCTTGATCCACCTCACAAGTGCTGGGAATACGGGCTAGTGCCACCACACCCAGCAAAGAAATGGTTAATGTTTCCAATGTCCTACGGGCAAAATAGCATCTAAACAGCCCTACTTTAGGAATTCACCTTATTTTGTTGTTGTCGTTGTTTATTTGTTTGATTTTTGGGACCGGGTTTCTCTTTGCTCTGGAACTCACTATATAGACCAGGCTGGCCTCGAACTCAAGAGATCTCCCTACCTCTGCCTTCTGAGTGCTGGGACTAAAGGCATGCGCCCCCGTGCCCGGCTAAAAGACACTTCATAATATAGAACTGACTTGTTGTTGTTGTTTGTTCGGTTTTGGTTTTGGTTTTTGTTTTTTTGTTTGTTTGTTTGTTTGTTTTGTTTTTCGAGACAGGGTTTCTCTGTGTAGTTTTGGTGCCTTTCCTGGATCTCGCTCTGTAGACCAGGCTGGCCTCGAACTCGCAGAGATCTGCCTGCCTCTGCCTCCTGAGCGCTGAGACTAAAGGTGTGTGTCACCAACGCCCGGCAATACACAGAGACTTATACACTCACTCTCTTGACCAGAAAGCACAGAGGTCCACCTGCCTCTAACTCCCAAGTGCTGGGATCAAAAGCTCAGCTACTGTTTGGTTTTTGTTTGTTTGTTTTTTCTTTTTTAGTTTTTTCAAGACAGGGTTTCAGGAAACCCTGTCTCGAAAAAAAAATGCCAGGCCATGGTGGCACACACCTTTAATCCCAGCATTCAGGAGGCAGAGGCAGGCGGATCTCTGTGAGTTCGAAGCCAGCCTGGTCTACAGAGTGAGTTCCAGGACAGGCTCCAAAACAACACAGAGAAACCCTGTCTCAAAAAACAAAAACAAAAAAGACAGGGTTTTTTCTGTGTAACAAAAAAGACAGGGTTTTTTTCTGTGTAACAGTCCTGGAACTCGCTCTGTAGACCAGGCTGGCCTCCAACTCACAAGAGATCCACCTGCCTCGGCCTCCCAAGTACCAGGATTAAAGGCATGTGCCACCACCTCCTGGCTATACTGTTTGAATTTCAATAAGTAGCAAAAGTCAAAATAAAAATGGAGAACATCCCTCAGGAAAGACGTTCAGACACAGGTTATGAACAGCTTTCTACTCGCCAAAGTAAAACAGGCAGAGAAATTTACTTCACATTTTATATGCTACAGCATTTCTAGGGAATAAAGCCATTTAGCCTCTTTCCTCAGAATTAAAGTATTTTCACAAAAGAAGCCCACCTTGGTTTGGTTTCTTTCTTTTTTTTTTTTCTTTTTTTTTAAATTTATTTATTTATTGGGGCTGGAGAGATGGCTCAGAGGTTAAGAGCACTGCTTGCTCTTCCAAAGGTCCTGAGTTCAATTCCCAGCAACCATATGGTGGCTCACAACCATCTGTAATGAGATCTGTTGCCCTCTTCTGGCCTGCAGGGATATGTGCACTGTATACATAATAAATAAATAATAAAAAAAAATTTATTTATTTATTATGTACACAGTGTTCCGCCTACATGCCAGAAGAGGGCACCAGATCTCACTACAGGTGGTTGCTGGGAATCCAACTCAGGACCTCTGAAAGAGCAGCCAGTGCTCCTAACCTCTGAGCCATCTCCAGCCTCCAGCTGGGCTTCATTTCTTATGCTACCAAGGGGAGGGCTTGGATGTGGTGGCCTTTAATCTTCCGCCCTGGGGTGAATTCAATCCCTGGGACCCACAGAGTGTAAAGAGAGAACTACCTCCTACAAGTTGTCCTCAGACCTGCACACACTTACACAGAGAAACGTAATCAAAAAACACTTGTAATGAAAACAGGAATTCAAACTGATACTTGTACACCAATATCAGCATTATTGTATTAGAGAAAAGGTTCAAACGATCCAAGTGTACAGCCAATGAGGTTTACTGAAAATGCTGTTATTGCTAATTGGAGAATAAATAGGTAAATACAATTCCATTAGATGGAAAATTTTTGAGCCATAACAAGGCATGAAATCAGCTGGGCGGGTGGCGCATGTCTTTAATTCCAGCACTCGGAAGGCAGAGCCAGGCGGATCTCTGTGAGTTCAAGGCCAGCCTGGGCTACAGAGTGAGTTCCAGAAAAGGCACAAAACTACACGGAGAAACCATGTTTCGGGGGGAAGAAGGAGAAGAAGAAGAAGAAGAAGAAGAAGAAGAAGAAGAAGAAGAAGAAGAAGAAGAAGAAGAAGAAGAAGAAGAAGAAGAAGAAGAAGACATGAAATCCAGAAATGTATTACAAAACGGATGAGTCATAAAGTGTTACAGTAGCCTGGGCAGTGGTGGCACACACCCACACACCGGTAATCCCAGCACTTGGAAGGTGAAGGCACACACAAAAAGTTACAATAAGGGACTGGAGAGAGATGATTTAGTGCTTAAAACTTAAAACACTGGCTGCTCTTGTAGAGGATCTGGGTTTAGTTTCCAACACCCACGTGGTGGCTCACAAACCTGTGTGACTCCAGATCTGATACCTTCTGACTTCCATGGGTACCAGGCATTCCCATAAGGCACATATGTGCAAGAAAAACACTCATACACATAAATAAATCTTATCAATAACTCCCTCCCACACTCTCTTTCCGTAGACAGGGTCTCTCTCTGTAGTCTTTGCTGGCCTCAAACTCAGAGAGATCCACTTGCCTTTGCCTCCCAAGTACTAGGGTTAAAGGTGTGTGCCACCATGCCCAGTTTAAAAAGAATTCTTACAGCAAGAGAAACACACACATTACGTGTTCCCAGTTATGAAAGTATCTATAGTGAGAGCGGTTGCCAAGGAAGGGCTAGGGAGCCCAGAGTTTCATGTCTACAAAGTTTTAGTTTGGGAAGATCAAAAGGTTCTGGAGATAAATGTAAATATATCAACGACACTGAATTTACCCTTAAGATAGTTAAAACTACATTTTATGTTATGTAGACTTTAAACACATATTTTATTGTGCTTAAAATCATAAACAAGAAAGCCTCTTTGGAAAAGGGGGTAAAATTGAGCCAAAGGAACACCTTGACGCGGGCGCGTTCCTCCAATTGCCCCTTGCGCGCTCGGAACTGAGTCTATTAGCATGTTCCTTCCCATAGTGCTTTGCTGCAGTTTCCCCCACGTACACCTACTTAAATTAAACAGTAATCTCCCTCCTGGGCCTCACACAGAGAGCACCATGAGATTATATGAGGCGCTGTAACTTTCCCGCTAACAATAACCGAAGGCTTTTCCATCCGACTTGAACCCCCCTTTCTGAAATAGGAGCCGCGCTTCCTAGCGACGATGCGCAGGGGGCGGTGTTCTCCAGCTTTGCGCAGTGGCAGTATCGTAGCCAATGAGGTTTATCCGAGGCGCGATTATTGCTAATTGAAAACTTTTCCCAATACCCCGCCGTGACGACTTGCAATATAGTCGGCATTGGCAATTTTTGACAGTCTCTACGGAGACTGAATAACTGTGGTTCAAAGAAAATAGGAAAAACTGTTTCAGCTTCTCTGCTCGGTGAGTGTTCAGTATTTATCCTTTTTCTTTCTGTGAAACTTTGAACTTGTATCGTCCTTTGACTCTTTTATATCTATTACTTACATTTCTTTGCTTTTGTTACTTTTTTCCCTATTTTACTTACATTTCTGTCCCTTTGCTTTTGTTTCTGTCTCTGATCTGTTGTTTTTCTGCTCGAGGTGCTTGCTGACCCAGAGTTTGCATTTGAAGTTGTATTTTCCTGAAGTTTTGGAGATAAACTCTATCCTGGTCGGTCGTTCATTTAAAAGAAATCTCAGTTTTATTGAGAGGGGTCTCTCACGTGGATGGCTTAGAATTCGCAGCAATCCTGTCTCCGCCTCCGGATCTCTCACTGTGTATCCGGGACTAGCCTGAAACTCGCGGCAGTCCTCCTGCCTCCGCCTCCCGAGCGCTCGAGTTGCTAGGGTTACAGACGAGAGTCTTTATGCCCCGCTCTCCCCACCACGGTCTGTTTCTGCATCCGACCGCACGTCGGTCCCTTGGGCTTACCCGCTTTCTCCCACCGCGGTTGAGAGTCTCCACCCGGGCCATCGCCATGACGTCGCCTCGATTTGCATAAGCGTCGCCCCAGCATCCCAAGCGGCGGCTGCGCTGTTTGTAAATCACGAGCCTCCGGGCGCGAGATAGCCCACCGGCCAGGATCTGTCCGCGCGGACGCCGGAGGAGAAACTGCTGGGTCGGGGCCCGTCACGAGGCGGTCGCGCGCGGGCGGGAGCTCACCGTGACTGTGATGGGCATCGCCGGCCCTGGGAAGCTGAGCGGGGCCGGTCGCTCTCCAGCTTTGCGCAGTGGCAGTATCGTAGCCAATGAGGTTTATCCGAGGCGCGATTATTGCTAATTGAAAACTTTTCCCAATACCCCGCCATGACGACTTGAAATATAGTCGGCATTGGCAATTTTTGACAGTCTCTACGGAGACTGAATATTACGAGTCTGAAAATTAGATTGTTTTATCCACCGACTTAGCGTGCACAGTTAGCGTTCTCAGTAAAATTGTGTCTTTGCCTCAGTTTCGAGTTTTGCTCCTGAGTACAGTAAGAAAGGGCCAAGGACAGGCGTCTTGCCAACAGCTCTGGGCGCTCTGTATTTCTAGTCATCCCCCTGCCTCTGCTTCCGAAGGCTGAGGTTGCAGTCCTGTGCCTTGTTTGCTTTTTTTTTTTTAAGATTTACTTATTATGTATACAGTGAGTGTTCGGCCTGCATGTATATCTGCAGGCCAGAAGAGGGCACCAGATCTCATTGTTGATGGTTGTGAGCCATCATGTGGTTGCTGGGAATTGAACTCAGGACCTCTGGAAGAACAGCCAGTGCTCCTAACCTCTGAACCATCTCTCCAGCCCCTCTTGTTTGCTTTTTTTTTGTTGTTGTTGTTGTTGTTTTTTTTGTTTTTGTTTTTGTTTTTGTTTTTCGAGACAGGGTTTCTCTGTGTAGCTTTGCGCCTGTCCTGGAACTCACTTGGTAGCCCAGGCTGGCCTCAAACTCACAGAGATCCGCCTGGCTCTGCCTCCCGAGTGCTGGGATTAAAGGCGTGCGCCACCACCGCCCGGCTCTTGTTTGCTTTTTTAAGAGATTCTCACAGCTCCTCGCTAAGGCAAACTCTTTACCTTTATCGCTGATCCTTTCCACTTTCAGACCCCCGAGAGGAAAACAGGTTTCCTTGAGGTGTCTCAAGCAGAGCACGGCTGTGGCCTGTGTCTCTGCAGACTATAGAGGACCCGGGTTCTGTTCTCAGCACCCACGTTAGGCAGCTCACCATTTTGTGTGTGTGTGTGTGTGTGTGTGTGTGTGTGTGTGTGTGTGTGTGTGTGTGTGAGAGAGAGAGAGAGAGAGAGAGAGAGAGAGAGAGAGAGAGAGAGAGAGAGAGAGAGAGAGAGAGAGAGAGAGAGAGAGAGAGAGAGGAGTAGCCTGGGCTACATGAGACCTGCAACAAACAGAAGACAGTTCCCTGACAAGCAATTACGTCAGTCCTGGTCTGGTACGATGGCACATGCCTACAGTCCTAGGTACTCAGGAGCCTTGAGGCAGGAGGATCGCAAGTTCAAAGCCAGCCTGGGTACCTTAGTAAGCCTGCAAAGAGGAGTTGGTATCAGGCCTGATAGCCTGAGTTCCATCCTCAACTCCCACAAGGTGGCAGGAGAGAATGACTTACTTCTTGGGGTTGTCCTCAGAGCTCCACAGAAGCGCCGTGACACAGCACCACCTACCCACGTGCACACACACAATAAAGAAATCATTTTATTTCTAATGCCATATCTGAAATAAAGATCTTAACGAACAAATAAAACAAGCATGGATTCTGGTGATTCATACGACAAATGGCTCCCCTAAACACCAGAGTGGCAGACCCATTTAAATATGTGCCTATATCAGTGCAGCTCTGGGACTGAAACCTGAGTTAAAAAGAAATAAAATTCACAGCGCCTCACTATGTAGACCAGGCTGTCCTGGAACTCACAGAGATCCACCTGCCTCTGCCTTCCCAGTGCTGGGGTTAAAGGCGTGCGCTGCCACTGACTGGCTTTTAAAAAAAAAAATTATTTAAAAAATAATAGAAAGGCTAGGCGGTGGTGGCGCATGCCTTTAATCCCAGCACTCGGGAGTTCGAGGCCAGCCTGGTCTACAGAGTGAGTTCCAGGACAGCCAGGGCTGCACAGAAAAACCATATCTCAAAAAACAAACAAAAAACACCTTGGAAAGGAATTTGCCGTTGAAGGACCAACATGAAGACCAGGGTGAGATTTTTTTTTTATTAGGGGTACACAGTTTAAGAGGGTGACAAAAAGCGCAGTAATCGAATAAATTATATTTTTAGTAAAATGAGTCGAGGAGGCTGAAGGCTAGATAGATATTCGAGGCCAGAATAAGATCCATCTTTGAGACAGGATCTCACTATGTAGCTTCCTCAGCCTCCCACACCCAAGTGCTGGAGTTACAGGTGTGCACACGCCTCACGCCTCTTTTTTTTTTTCCCCCAGTTGTCCCAGAGGACACACAATTTGTTAGGTAGCAGCTGGGAAATGAGCAGTTAGACTTGGCCACATGGTCCAGCTCATGCCTCTGGATGGCGCGGGATTTGGAGGAGCCCTTACTGTCACTGATGAGCTCATCGGCAAATCACTCGGCAATGGTCTGGATGTTCCGGAGAGACCTCGGGAGCACCTGTGTGCAGCAGCGTCTGAATCACCGGGCGGGGACACACCCACAGCCTGCCGTCTCCTGTCCCTGTGCATCCAAAGCGTGTTGAGTCTTCCCCGGGGGCCACTGTTGAGGATGTCATTCACCAGGACCTGCAGAGGGTTTTTCACCAGTGAGCAGGTGGATGATCTCAAAGGCATGCTTGACTGTGCGTGTAGTCATGAGCTGTGTGTATCATCATGGAGTTAGGGAGGTGTCCTGGGATGGGGCACTGCGCTTTCCATACCTCTCAGCCCTGTTGGGCGGGGACTTTTCCACTGCAATGTATCCTGCACGTCATCAGAGCTCCATTTCCCAGAAAGCTCAATGTCTGGGGTCTCTGCTACTGCTGGTGTAGCTGTCTCCCACTGGGTCATTCTGAAGACAAAGACACACCCTCACCTGGCTTAATTTACTGTTAATTAGAGCTCAGCCTCTAGGAAGTTTGGGCTAAACTATAGAAGATGGAGAATTCCAAATTACTTGTATCTCTCTCAAGTTCTGGATTGCTGTCACAGGTCCTATTTGATTGTTCATTGTTTTTTTTTTTTTTTTTTTTTTTTTTGTTTTTCATACTAAGATTTGAGAGACTAAGAGTGAGACAGACTCTCTGTTAGACAGACAGACAGAGGGGCATGGCCAGGTAATAAAGGTGAAATTTTCCAAGATGGCCGCTACTTCCATAATGAGGCAAAAGCCCGGCTCGCTTTTATCCGCCATCAGCATTGGGCTGCTAAAGGACTGTCTCCTCAAGTTTAAGGATGGACAACAGTTCTGGGGCAATCAACCACTCTTTTTCTTTTTTCTTTTTTTTTTTTAAGACTTACTTATTGCCGGGCGGTGGTGGCGCACGCCTTTAATCCCAGCACTTGGGAGGCAGAGCCAGGCGGATCTCTGTGAGTTCGAGGCCAGCCTGGGCTACAGAGTGAGTTCCAGGAAAGGCGCAAAGTTACACAGCGAAACCCTGTCTCGAAAAACCAAAAAAAAAAAAAAAAAAAAAGACTTATTATGTACACAGTGTTCTGCCTGCATGTACGCCTGCGGGCCAGAAGAGGGCGCCAGATCTCATTACAGATGGTTGTGAGCCACCATGTGGGTGCTGGGAATTTGGGAATTGAACTCAGGCCCTCTGGAAGAACAGCCTGTGCTCTTAACCTCTGAGCCAGATCTCCAGCTCCGCAATCAACCATTCTACCTTTCTTCAAACTCAGGAACCCTGAAGCAAGAGAGGAAAATTCTCCCAAGGCTTGAAAACCTCCAGCCCTCAAGAAGACACTGAATTTTCCAGCTTTCCCAGTCCTGAGTCTCACGCCCCCCACACACACCTCCCACCCCCTACCCCCATGTGCTGTGCAGAGGGCCTTTCTCTGTGTGTCTGCTGCATATGTGTGTTTCCCCACCCCCCCCACCCGCTGCATGCGTGCGTTTCCCACCCCCGCCAAGAGTCTTTCTTGACTGCTGTTTCTGTCTGCGGTGCTTGAGCTTTCTCTGCGGCTACCTGTGGCGCCATAGATTTTTCCTGCCCTTTAATTCTTGAACTGGCAGAGAAAACAAACCGGATCCAGACCCGTAGGCTATTCTTTCAAGACCCTCTAGACTGTATCAGTTTCACGATGTAGTTCTGGCTGGCCTGGAACTCACAGAGATCTTCTCGCTGGCCCCCCCCCCCCCCAACACACACACCAGTTCTGTGCACCGCCACACCTGGCTATGACTGGCTTGTACACGTTTTACAACTTCCGTTTTCTTTCCGCCAAGCAATGTATCTTGGACATATTTTCCGTGTCAGCAAGCAGTTTGGCTTTCTTCGTGTGTGGCTGTGTCCTGCCAAGGTTAATCTCTTCCGTTGATGGACATCTTGTTTGTCTAATGGGAATGTTGTTAACTAATGCTACAGTGAATAGTCTCATGGCTACATCATTCCTGTGAGTCAGTTTGTCTGTCTGTCTGTCTGTCTGTCTCTCCCTCTCTCTCTGACAGTTTCATGTAGCCTAGGCTAGCTTTGAACTCTCTGTGTAACTGAAGATGGCCTTGAACTCCTCCTGATCCTCTTACATCCACCTCCCAAATGCTGGGATTACGTGTATACACCCTGTGCCCAGCTTCCTTGTGGGGCATTTTGTGTGGAAATTTCTAAAAGTGAAGTTGCCAGTTTAAGGGCCGTGTACATTTTGCATTTTGAGGAGTACTTCCAATTTGACATCTGGAGGCTTCCTGACGTAGTTGGCCCAAAAATCGTGAGTGGAGAGATTTGGAGATACACAAGTGTGTGCACACACACATTTTTTTCCCTTTTCTTTTTTTCTTTTTCCTTTCCTTTTTGATACAGGGTCTTGCTCTGTAGTCCGGGCTGGCCTTGAACTCTTGATCCTCCTGCCTCAACCTGCCAAGTGCTGGAATCTTAGGTGTGAGCCCCGCACCACTCTGACTAGTCTGGAGAAGGTTTGGAATGTATCTGGAAGTATTCTACAGTTGTCACGTGGCACCTTCCCATTGGACAGTGGAACAGAAGACAGCAAACGTACCCATGTTGCTGACTGTCCAGTAAGATGCAGTATCTGAGCAGGGCATGGCGGTGGTATCACACACACCTTCAATCCCAGCATTTGAGAGGTAGAGGCAGGCAGATCTCTGAGTTCTAGGCCAGACTGGTCTAGAGAGTGAGTTCCAGGACAGCCAGGGCAACACAGAGAAATACCTATCTTGAAAAACCAAAATAAATAGATAAATAAATAAAGATCCAATCTCTGTGTGCCCTCCAGCTGTTTTCCAGGCTTGGAACAGGAAAGAAGGCTGGATTGGATGGAGTAGTCCTCGTCTCTGAGGGGAGGAGGAATCTGGACCCATTCCAAATTGACCCTCTCCCCTTCTTGTGTATGGAAGTATCATCAGGAACACCCTCCCACACACACCTCCCACACTGTCTTCAGAGCCTGCCTGAATCCAGTAACTGGTTCCAGGGACTGGAGAGGACTTGGCTCCCAGTCTACCTCAGCAGAGCAAGGACCCACCAGCCCCCAAACAATCTGCTCAGTGTTTAAGGCACTGCAGGATGTTTGCAAGAAACACCAGCTCCTCGGTTAAAAATATCCCGTGCCGGAGGGGCCTGAGTCTGTCTCGGAACAGAGCTGCCC